TTATCCTACTAGCTATATCACTAGGCTAAAGGTTCATCAATATCTTATTTTAGAATGTCTAAGAATAGGAGTTTTCTTGGGTAAACATGTGAGTTTTCCAGGAAAACCTGACTGGCAGAAGGAAGGAATGTCTCGTTGAGACTATGAAGTCTGAGAAAGGGGTCATGACCTCTCTTGCTCCCCCCCTGTTGGAGGTAATATCTCCACATTACAGGAGGGCCCCCACTTTACGGCACTATTTTTTATGGCATTTCGCTAATGCAGCGGTTTTCCGTGATGCTCATTCTTCATTTATTCAGACTTTCTACAATAAATATATTCACTACTCACTACAAGGAGAAAAATATTTTAAGGTAAGTAATGTGTGTACTGTATACACAGTTTATAGGCCTAGCTCTATTGCTCTTAATGTATGATAGTGTAAACATATTATTTTATTATTTTTTTTTATTATCACACTGGCCGATTCCCACCAAGGCAGGGTGGCCCGAAAAAGAAAAACTTTCACCATCATTCACTCCATCACTGTCTTGCCAGAAGGGTGCTTTTCACTACAGTTTTTAAACTGCAACATTAACACCCCTCCTTCAGAGTGCAGGCACTGTACTTCCCATCTCCAGGACTCAAGTCCGGCCTGCCGGTTTCCCTGAACCCCTTCATAAATGTTACTTTGCTCACACTCCAACAGCACGTCAAGTATTAAAAACCATTTGTCTCCATTCACTCCTATCAAACACGCTCACGCATGCCTGCTGGAAGTCCAAGCCCCTCGCACACAAAACCTCCTTTACCCCCTCCCTCCAACCTTTCCTAGGCCGACCCCTACCCTGCCTTCCTTCCACTACAGACTGATACACTCATGAAGTTATTCTGTTTCGCTCCATTCTCTCCACATGTCTGAACCACCTCAACAACCCTTCCTCAGCCCTCTGGACAACAGTTTTGGTAATCCCGCACCTCCTCCTAACTTCCAAACTACGAATTCTCTGCATTATATTCACACCACACATTGCTCTCAGACATGACATCTCCACTGCCTCCAGCCTTCTCCTCGCTGCAACATTCATCACCCATGCTTCACACCCATATAAGAGCGTTGGTAAAACTATACTCTCAAACATTCCCCTCTTTGCCTCCAAGGACAAAGTTCTTTGTCTCCACAGACTCCTAAGTGCACCACTCACCCTTTTCCCCTCATCAATTCTATGATTCACCTCATCTTTCATAGACCCATCCGCTGACATGTCCACTCCCAAATATCTGAATACATTCACCTCCTCCATACTCTCTCCCTCCAATCTGATATCCAATCTTTCATCACCTAATCTTTTTGTTATCCTCATAACCTTACTCTTTCCTGTATTCACTTTCAATTTTCTTCTTTTGCACACCCTACCAAATTCATCCACCAATCTCTGCAACTTCTCTTCAGAATCTCCCAAGAGCACAGTGTCATCAGCAAAGAGCAACTGTGACAACTCCCACTTTATGTGTGATTTTTTATCTTTTAACTCCACGCCTCTTGCCAAGACCCTCACATTTACTTCTCTTACAACCCCATCTATAAATATATTAAACAACCACGGTGACATCACACATCCTTGTCTAAGGCCTACTTTTACTGGGAAATAATTTCCCTCTTTCCTACATACTCTAACTTGAGCCTCACTATCCTCGTAAAAACTCTTCACTGCTTTCAGTAACCTACCTCCTACACCATACACCTGCAACATCTGCCACATTGCCCCCCTATCCACCCTGTCATATGCCTTTTCCAAATCCATAAATGCCACAAAGACCTCTTTAGCCTTATCTAAATACTGTTCACTTATATGTTTCACTGTAAACACCTGGTCCACACACCCCCTACCTTTCCTAAAGCCTCCCTGTTCATCTGCTATCCTATTCTCCGTCTTACTCTTAATTCATTCAATAATAACTCTACCATACACTTTGCCAGGTATACTCAACAGACTTATCCCCCTATAATTTTTGCACTCTCTTTTATCCCCTTTGCCTTTTTACAAAGGAACTATGTATGCTCTCTGCCAATCCCTAGGTACCTTACCCTCTTCCATACATTTATTAAATAATTGCACCAACCACTCCAAAACTATATCCCCACCTGCTTTTAACATTTCTATCTTTATCCCATCAATCCCAGCTGCCTGCTGCCTTACCCCCTTTCATTTTACCTACTGCCTCACGAACTTCCCCCACACTCACAACTGGCTCTTCCTCACTCCTACATGATGTTGTTCCTCCTTGTCCTATACACGAAATCACAGCTTCCCTATCTTCAACAACATTGTGAACATGTTATCACGATTTTCTGTGCATCTGAAAGTGAAAACGGGATTTGTTTCACTTCACAGCGATTTTTGCTTTACAGCAGTAGCCCGGAACTTAACCTGCTGTATGAGTGGGGCTCTACAGTAGCCTGGAACCTAACCTGCTGTATGAGTGGGGCCCTACAGTAGCCAGGAACCTAACCTGCTGTATGAGTGGGGCCCTACAGTAGCCTGGAACCTAACCTGCTGTATGAGTGGGGCCCTACAGTAGCCTGGAACCTAACCTGCTGTATGAGTGGGGCCCTACAGTAGCCTGGAACCTAACCTGCTGTATGAGTGGGGCCCTACAGTAGCCTGGAACCTAACCTGCTGTGTGAGTGGGGCCCTACAGTACCTCGGAACCTAACCTGCTGCATAAGCGGGGCCCTAATTATGACATGAAAAACAAAAATTGGTTGCCTTAATTTTGAAAATCAGGAGCCTTGGTCAGAGCTAAGACCCATGCATTTTTTTTTTTTTAAATTTAATGCTGATAAATTCTTTAAAAATCTGAAATTTGTTCTGTAGTTTCCCTATTTCTGAAAGATGTTTTGAAAAACCTTTATTCATTGTATGTAGCAGAAACTCTTAAAATACTGCATGTTACTAGTGCAATTTTTTTTTTTACATTTCTTAGGCACCTAGATATTTATTTCTCCTTCATTAAACTCCTTGGGTATTTATTTCCCCTTCATTCAAAGCATTAAGTATTTATTTCCAGTCTGTTTTAGTACTTACATAGGTACCTAGGCATTTATCTCTATTTTTTTTTTTTTTTGGTACATAAGTCCAGTATTTGTTTTGCTCAGTTTATTAGGCACCTAGTTTATTAGGCACCTAGTTTATTAGGCACCTAGTTTATTAGACACCTAGTTTAGTTTGTTAGGCACCTAGGAATTTATTCTGCCTTCCTTTTTAACACTAAGGCATTTTGAAATTTAAAATCACATACACAAATAGCCCACATTTAAGATGGATACTTTTTGACGATGTTTCAGTCTGTAATGCACTGCATCTTCTGCCTGAAACGCACCTCATCTGCTGCCTGAAATGCACCGCATCCGCTGCCTGAGATGCACCGTATGCTATTGGGTTTTTGTGCTTCACTAATTTATTTAATGCAAACTACATTATTTGTATACTGCAGAAAAGAAGTAAAGATCACCTACCATCCGACTTACGACCGAGTTCGGTTCCGATAAACCGGTCATAAGTTGAACTTTACTACTGAATATTAACAAAACATTTTTGTAATGACTTTATTTTATTGTTTTATTTTGGTATTTCATGTTTTACTTTACTTTTTATGTTGTTAGTACTGTATTTTATACTGTAAGGTTTAGGATAAACACTGTGTACAACACAAATAGTTGTTTATTTCCCAGAAATTTGGCATAAAAAACACGGTCGTAAGTCGAGTGGTCGTAAGTCGAGCAGGTCGTAAGTCAAGTGGTCGTAAGTCGAGCAGGTCGTAAGCCGATGGTAGGTGTATTTGCATTGACTTGCAGTGGTACGAGTCTGACTGAAATGTCATCATAAGGTTTCTTCTAAGCGAGATTTGCGTACTTGGGCATTTGTTTAGTTCTTTAGTTTATTTCTTAGAAGATAAATACTGTGGACCCTCGAATTTAGTCGTGCCTTTTCTGTATGCAAAACTATTTTTATTTATAAAATGTATTTTTTGTTAATATTTTTGGGTGTCTGGAATGGTTTAATTGGATTTATAATATTTCCTATGGAAAATATTAACAAAAAATACATTTTATAGAGAATAAAAATAGTTTTGCATACAGAAAAGGCACGACTAAATTCGAGGGTCCACTGTACTGTGCCTAACTCTTGAAATCGTATTAACATGATAGCAATACACAGGGACCTTGGCAAGGAAATAGGTACAGTAAACCACAGATCGGGTGGGCTTTGAAACTGTGGCGAGTTGTGAAACTCCAGACCAGTGTGTATGCCACTAGGCCACCTGGCTAGTTGGATGAATCTTATTGTAGCCAGCTGGCCCAGTGGCTCAAGCACTGGCCTGGAGTTTTACCACTTGCTAACACCGTTCTGTGGTTTACTGTGCCAGTTTCATTACAGCCTTTCCTCACTTAACGACTGAGTTCTGTTCCTACGTCCATGTTGGTAAATGAATTCATTCAAATTCAAAGTTTATTCTCTATAAGGATTACAATGCTGAGTTTACAGAATTTGGTTATTGTGTGGTTTACATGTAGTAAAATAGTGATTACAGAGGGGGCCACTAGAACACCTAGCATGGCTAGGCATTTCGGTCAGACTTAGATTAATTCATTGCTAAACGAGGAGCACACTGTAATTGTAGTGAGTTTGTGTCAATCATCTTTGATATTTTTTAATATCATCTTTGCACCATTTATAAAAAATTTTGTATACTGTATTTTTAAATGTTCATACCGTAGTGTACTGTATATTGTAATAAACAGAATAGAGGGAATCAGCTCTAATATACATTATTTAAGTATGCATACTAGTCAAAGAGCCCATCATAAGTCCGAGTTGTCGGTGAACAAGTACGTCGCTAAGTGAGGAGAGGCTGTTCTTAGGTCCCTATATATTGATTTTTTCCTTTTATTACCTAGGCATATATTTTACATTGTAGTTTTGCTAGAAAGTAATCTAAAAAAAATTTCTTTGCAGGTTGAATCTCCATCATATATATCTGAAGTCAAAATCAGCGCTTGTACTTCAGTCATTGACATCTTAACTGAACACCCTGGCTATTAAACAGGTCTCTCTTGTTATTGTATTTCTTGATTTTACATTACCTCTTGTACATTAAATATAGAGTAAGAATTAGGATTAATCTGCCCAAAATGCCTAGGCATGCTAGATGCCTTCCTTGTAATTAATATTTTTAATATGTATACTACACATTGTAAGCTTTGCAAGGAATTAAACATTATTATTATTATTATTATTATTATTATTATTATTATTATAAAGTTCTGTACAGAGCAGTTTTTTGTCTATGCGACTAAAAAAGTACACCCAAAATTGAATAGTTCATGAAAGGCCATCATAGTAAGTACTGTTCAGTTTTGGAAACACTTTTTTAATTGCATTTATAATAATTGCTCTATTATCGAAGAACTGTGTGAGAGAGATGACTATTTAGGGGAGTACAGCGGTACCTCGGGATACGAACTTAATTCATTTAGAAATCTGTTCGAGTGGCTATATCGAACAAATTTGTTCCCATAAAGAATATTGTAAATTAGATTAATCTGTTTCAGACCCCCAAAAATACGCTTACAAAACACTTACATAAATACACTTACATAATTGTTCGAGTTTTGAGGTGTTCATATCCCGAGGTACCACTGCATTATTAAAATATAAATACAGAATATACATAGTAGAAGCCCCATATCCATGGATTTGGTATCTGCTGTTTTGGTTATCCACAGTTTGCTGTGGCCCAAAAATAATTTTTCTTAATGGCCCTAAAGCACAAAAGTAGTGATGCTGGCCTAAGAGAAGCTGTGAAATGCTTCCCATTACTGAGAAAGTGCTAAATCTAGACCTATTTTGCATAATTTATCAGTTAAACTCTATCATAAGAATAAAGAATAAAGATTATATTTCTTTGCAAAGGTTATAATGTGTAATTGCAATTTTGGTTTAATAAGTACAAAGAAAGTCACTATCACGCCCGGGTATTCCAGGCAGACTCGTCCTAGTACGTAATAACTATACTTACATCTGGACAAGATAAGAGTGGTTAACTTTTATTAAATTCTTTGTTTTATCTTAATACTAATGGTATACAATATTATACAGTGGTAATGGTATACAGTGGTATACAATACCAACAAGAAGAAGAATTAAACATGTGAAACATCTGGATACATATATTTATCTATAGACATTTTGCCATCCAGTGGCTTCATTAGTATAAATTCAAGGCCATAACGGAAAGACTATAGAAACAGGTACAATGCCTGCATTCTAGAGGAATGGTGATAATGCAGTTTGAAGCATCTTCTGAGCTGTGATATCACTACTTGTTTATAAATTCAAGTTTCTTCTCAAAGATCACTTACTCACCCAAAACCAAATAAATACTGAATAACTGAACCTTATAAATTGTATATCTTAAATGTTTCTCATAATCATATCACATAAATGTTAAACCTAAGACTTAAACCTACAGACTTTGCAAAAGCCTTCGACAAGTGTGACCATGGCGTAATAGCGCACAAAATGTGTGCTAAAGGAATAACAGGAAAAATCGGTCGATGGATCTATAATTTCCTCACTAACAGAACACAGAGAGTAGTAGTCAACAGAGTAAAGTCCGAGGCAGCTACGGTGAAAAGCTCTGTTCCACAAGGCACAGTACTCGCTCCCATCTTGTTCCTCATCCTTATATCCGACATAGACAAGGATGTCAGCCACAGCACCATGTCTTCCTTTGCAGATGACACCCGAATCTGCATGACAGTGTCTTCCATTGCAGACACTGCAAGGCTCCAGGCGGACATCAACCAAATCTTTCAGTGGGCTGCAGAAAACAATATGAAGTTTAACGATGAGAAAATTCAATTACTCAGATATGGTAAACATGAGGAAATTAAATCTTCATCAGAGTACAAAACAAATTCTGGCCACAAAATAGAGCGAAACACCAATGTCAAAGACCTGGGAGTGATCATGTCGGAGGATCTCACCTTCAAGGACCATAACATTGTATCAATCGCATCTGCTAGAAAAATGACAGGATGGATAATGAGAACCTTCAAAACTAGGGATGCCAAGCCCATGATGACACTCTTCAGGTCACTTGTTCTATCTAGGCTGGAATATTGCTGCACACTAACAGCACCTTTCAAGGCAGGTGAAATTGCTGACCTAGAAAATGTACAGAGAACCTTCACGGCGCGCATAACAGAGATAAAACACCTCAATTACTGGGAGCGCTTGAGGTTCCTGAACCTGTATTCCCTGGAATGCAGGCGGGAGAGATACATGATTATATACACCTGGAAAATCCTAGAGGGACTAGTACCGAACTTGCACACGAAAATCACTCGCTACGAAAGCAAAAGACTTGGCAGACGATGCAACATCCCCCCAATGAAAAGCAGGGGTGTCAGTAGCACGTTAAGAGACCATACAATAAGTGTCAGGGTCCCAAGTCTGTTCAACTGCCTCTCAGCATACATAAGGGGGATTACCAACAGACCCCTGGCAGTCTTCAAGCTGGCACTGGACAAGCACCTAAAGTCGGTTCCTGACCAGCCGGGCTGTGGCTCGTACGTTGGTTTGCGTGCAGCCAACAGTAACAGCCTGGTTGATCAGGCTCTGATCCACCAGAAGGCCTGGTCACAGACTGGGCCGCGGGGGCGTTGACCCCAGAACTCTCTCCAGGTAAACTCCAGGTAAACTCCTAACAGAATACTCCATTCTACTGAATGTATAGCAATGCATGCAACCATATGACCTGTCTTTGTAATACTCATTTGTGCTTTATAGTTATCTGTTTACAATAATGTTTTATCACTGATTTCATCATTGCTTAGTTAATCTTAAGTTAATTTTAAGCCAGCCCGTAATGCTATGTATATAAGTGGCTTTGGCATGCTGCTCTTACCTGTATTTTTTTGTACCTCTGTATGTTCAAATTATTAAATAAATAAATAAATAAATAAATCAGCACACATCTGAATTCAACTCTAGTTCCTGAATTGAATATCATTTAATATATGAAAATTACCTATACAGTGGACCCCCGGTTAACGATATTTTTTCACTCCAGAAGTACAGTGGACCCCCGCTTAACGATCACCTCCAAATGCGACCAATTATGTAAGTGTATTTATGTAAGTGCGTTTGTACGTGTATGTTTGGGGGTCTGAAATGGACTAACGTACTTCACAATATTCCTTATGGGAAAAAATTCGGTCAGTACTGGCACCTGAACATGCTTCTGGAATGAAAAAATATTGTTAACCGGGGGTCCACTGTATGTCATAGAGTCTCAAAACTCCAGCCCTGGTCCACGACCAGGCCTCCCGGTGGATCAGGGCCTGATCAACCAGGCTGTTGTACAGAAAGTATCCATAATATCAGCTAATGTAAAAGATAGTATGTTGGTTTATGTGCAGCCATCAGTAACAGCCTGGGTGATCAGTCCCTGATCCACCATGAGGCTTGGTCACGGACTGGGCTATGGGGCGTTGACCCCCGAAACCCTCTCCGAATATAAACTTACAAGTCTATAACCTAACAAATTATTGCTAATAATAACGTACAATGATATTACCTTCTAGTCTTTAACCCGTAAACAGTCCAAACGTATATACATGTATACGTTTTTTCAACATTTGAAAGTATACACAAATAACCCGTATATAAGAGAGAGAAGCTTACGATGACGTTTCGGTCCGACTTGGACCATTGACAAAGTCAGTGTGACTTTGTCAATGGTCCAAATCAGACCGAAACGTCGTCGTAAGCTTCTCTCTTTTATGTGCGGGTTATTTGTGTATCGTTCCAGTCACGGTATTGTGCCTTTTTTTGTTATTTGAAAGTATGTAAAAAATGTAGATCTTTTTTTTTTTTTACATTTGAAAATGTGTAAAACAACTTTGATCTACTTTTTTTTTTTGTTATATTTGAAAATATGTAAAAAAAAACGTAGATCTACTTTTTTTTTTTGTTATATTTGAAAATATGTAAAAAAAAACGTAGATCTACTTTTTTTTTTTTGTTACATTTGAAAATATGTAAAAAAAAACGTAGATCTACTTTTTTTTTTTTGTTACATTTGAAAATATGTAAAAAAAAACGTAGATCTACTTTTTTTTTTTGTTACATTTGAAAATATGTAAAAAAAAACGTAGATCTACTTTTTTTTTTTGTTACATTTGAAAATATGTAAAAAAAACGTAGATCTACTTTTTTTTTTTGTTACATTTGAAAATATGTAAAAAAAAACGTAGATCTACTTTTTTTTTTTGTTATATTTGAAAATATGTAAAAAAAAACGTAGATCTACTTTTTTTTTTTTGTTACATTTGAAAATATGTAAAAAAAAACGTAGATCTACTTTTTTTTTTTGTTACATTTGAAAATATGTAAAAAAAAACGTAGATCTACTTTTTTTTTTTTGTTATATTTGAAAATATGTAAAAAAAAAACGTAGATCTACTTTTTTTTTTTGTTACATTTGAAAATATGTAAAAAAAACGTAGATCTACTTTTTTTTTTTTGTTATATTTGAAAATATGTAAAAAAAAACGTAGATCTACTTTTTTTTTTTGTTACATTTGAAAATATGTAAAAAAAAAAAACGTAGATCTACTTTTGTAGCAGTACACATGTGAACGTAGATCTGCCTGGACCGTTTACGGGTTAATCTTAATAATAATATAATAGTTGAGTGTACATGCTAAAAGCCCCTTTATATACAGAGCATTTCTGGCAAACTTAAAATTAACTCATGATTAACCCTTAGACTGTCCAAACGTAGATCTACGTTTGCTCGTGTTGCGCTCCAAACGTAGATCTATGTTTTTTTACATTCTTACGGAGAAAATCTAGGTAGGAGCGCTATGCGCGCAAACGTAGATCTACGTTTGGACAGTTTAAGGGTTAATAAGGCAATAATAGTACATACGGTCATTAGATGAGTTACAATGAACACAAGATGAGTTACAATGAATACAAGATGTGTTACAATGAATACAAGATGAGTTACAATGAATACAAGATGAGTTACAATGAATACAAGATGAGTTACAATGAATACAAGATGAGTTACAATGAAAACAAGATGAGTTACAATGAAAACAAGATGAGTTACAATGAACACAAGATGTGTTACAATGAATACAAGATGAGTTACAATGAAAACAAGATGAGTTACAATAAACACAAGATGTGTTACAATGAATACAAGATGAGTTACAATGAATACAAGAGAATTGAGTATTCTGCTAAGTCATGCTATATGGCTTTAGTAAGTCTTGTAGAGAAGATATATCTCTGTGGTCTTTCAGGATGCTTTCAAACTCTCACTATTTCTGTATAAACAGTTTATCATGTTCAAATAAACTCGCTTTGTATAAAAGCAACTGAATGAGTGATGGTGAACGTGTTTCTTCTTTTTTGCTGTGCCCTACCTTGGTGGGAAATGGCCCATTCATTTAAAAAAGATGGGCAGGCATCTTTATTCACATACTAGTACAGTGGTACCCCGAGTTTTGGCCATAATTCGTTCCAGAAGGCTGTTCGAGTGCCATTACCGAACGAATTTGTTCCCATAAAGAATAATGCAAATTAGATTAATCCGTTTCAGACTTCCAAAAATACACTTACAAAAGCACTTACGATAATACACTTACATAATTGTTCGAGTTGGGTACTGTATGAAACGCGGGGTATTTCTGTATCTATATTAGTACAGTGGTCCCTCGTTTTTCGTAATTAATCCGTTCCTGGAGCCATTATTATAAACGAAATTTACGATTTGCGAATCAATTTTCCCCCATAAGAAATAATGTAAATACAATTAATCCGTTCCTGACACCCAGAAGTATTAAAACAAAAAAAAATTTTACATGAAATATACATATAGTACATAAACAATACAATGGGAAATGATGAATGAAACATTAACAGCATAACACTTAGCTTTATTGGAGATTCTTCTTAGTGTATGGGAGACTGGAGGAGGAGAGAGAGTGGACTGTTTATAGTTTGGAAGGGGAATCCCCTTCCAGCAACACCTCAGGTACCAATTGCTTCTCTGGGGTTGCTTCTCTTCTCTGTTTCTTAATGTCACTAGGTCCACCTTGAGAGTCACTCTAGTCCTGTCTCACAAAGTAACTGTGGAGAGAGCTCTGTTTCTGGCGTCTCTTTAACACTTCCCGAAAATGGCCCAAGACTTTGTCACTGTACATATTTCTCACCTTCTTTACCACAGGCTTGGCACTAGGAGCTTTCTTTGGAGCCATGGTAGCTTATTTAGTAATTGCAAGCACTAAAATGAGTGGAATATTATGAAATATTTTGTAGGAGCACTTGAGGGGACCTTCACTCACTGGTAAACAATGCCAGACTGGCTGGGTAGGGAGGCTGCCCCGGCTCACACCGTGCGTACGCGTCCCGGACGAACTACTATTCGCGAGTCAACCTATGAAAAGCGAGTCCATGTTTGTACGAAAATACCCCTATGATTGGCGAAATTTACGATTGCTGAGAACTACGAAAAGCGAGGGACCACTGTAATTAGTTGCAAAAACTGCTTTCTTCTTTGCCAGAAACATTCAGTGTCTGTACTGTACCATACAGTATAACCACGCTCATTGCTATATGGTGCCCCACGGTGTGGTGGCATAAGCTCTTGCTTCACATTGTGTGAGTCTGGGCTCGATTCCTGGTGAAGGGATGGAAACATTGGACGTGTTTCCTTCCACCGGTTGTGTATGTTCACCCATGAGTAAAATGGGTACCTGGGTGTTAGTCGACCAGTGTGGATTGCATCCTGGGACCTAATTTGCCTGAAATGCTTTGCATAACAAGCAGCTTTCTATATAGTAGTACAGTGGACCCCCGCATAACGATCACCTCCGAATGCGACCAATTATGTAAGTGTATTTATGTAAGTGCGTTTGTACGTGTATGTTTGGGGGTCTGAAATGGACTAATCTACTTCACAATATTCCTTATGGGAACAAATTCGGTCAGTACTGGCACCTGAACATACTTCTGGAGAGAATGAGTCTACTGTATGTCATTGATGTGATCTAGGCCTCTATACCTTGTACATGTACTTGTAGTAAATAAAGATATTATTATTATTATTATTATATTATACATGCCATAATATATTAATAAATGGTTTCCCTATTACAAGACACACTGAGGGTAAATTTCTAGGTCTTCTCCTTGACTGTATTCTTAAATTTTGTTCTCACATTCGGTATATATCCAAGGAAATTTCCAAATCAGTAGGCATCCTTTCCAAGATACGATACTGTGTACCCCAAATGACACTCCTTACCCTATACCACTCTTTAATATATCCCTACCTCACCTATGGTATTTTTGCCTGGGGATCAACCACAGCCAACCACCTTAAACCTTTAATAACCCAACAAAAACGTGCTGTGCGGATGATTACCAGCTCCTGTACTAGCCAGCACGCTCCACCACTTTTCAAAAGCCTGAACTTGCTAAATATACAAGACATGCACTCATATTATTGTGCCTGCTACATATACAGAGCATTAAACTCCAATATAAACCCTCCACTTAAACTTCTCCTTGATAGCTTCACATAACGCACAGTCACAATACAAGGCATAAGACACTCTTCGACATACCTCATGTCAGTCTCACACTACGCAAAAATGCAATGCACATAAAGGATCTTAAGATCTGGAATTCACTACCGGAACTGGTAAAGGATCTCCTGACTACTCCTAAATTTAGGACTTTATTTAAAAATCATCTCATCTCTCTTTACTAGCTAAAACAACTTCAAATCAGTTATTATATTATATGACTTCTAGTCTATTAAACATCTGCCAGTCCATGAAATGTTACTACTTGTATCATTTACCCTTAAACTGTCCAAACGTAGATCTATGTTTTCACATGTAGTGCTTCGACCTTGATTTTTCCCCATAAGAAAGAATGCAAAAAAAATGTAGATCAACGTTTGGAGCGCTACACGAGCAAACGTAGATCAACGTTCGGAGCGCTACACGAACAAAAGTAGATCAACGTTTGGAGCGCTACATGAACAAACGTAGATCTACGTTTGGACAGTTTAAGGGTTAATTGTAGTATTGTTTTCATTATGTGCAACCTCAAGATTATTATTTTTATAAACCTCCACCTTGACAACCTTGCATTAGTGTTAAGATTAAATAAAGATTTTAATAAAAGTTAACCACTCTTATTTTGTCTAGATTTAAGTACAGTGGACCCTCGAACAATTATGTAAGTGTATTTTTGTAAGTGCTTTTGCAAGTGTATTTTTGGGGGTCTGGAACGGATTAATCTAATTTACATTATTCCTTATGGGAACAAATTCATTCGGTAACGGCACCCAAACAGACTTCTGGAACTAATTATGGCCGAAACTTGAGGTACCACTGTACTTAAAATATCTGAAACTTCATTCAGTTGTTGTATGATAGCAGATGATTGGCCCAGTTTTCCTCTATTTTTCAGCATTCTACCTCCAGTGGGTTGAGCAGAGACAGGCAAGATCGGAAAATTGCTAGAGTGGAAGACTGGCATTCCATGAGGTGATCATGGCAGGTTGGTATAAGTCAACCATCTACAAGTTTTTATTCATCAATTTATTTGAGCAATTATGAATGTTGGTTGGTTCGTGACTGTTAATCAGTTCTAATTTAAAAAAAGTAAACAAAAATATTTTTTGCTAATAAAAAACTACCTAGAAAAAATTGGGAAAGGTTTTGCAGTCACTAATACACTGCAGCAAATATATATTTTGCAAATATTAATCTGGGACACATGCAAGATGAGATTACTGATTGATTCATAAAAGACTTTTTTTTTTTTTTTTTTTTTAATGAACTGGACATCTCCCACCAAGACAGGGTAACCTGTAAAGAAAAACAAAAATTTTTCTTTTTAAATTTAGTAATTTATACAGGAGAAGGTGTTACCGGTGGCTAAAGCTCCCGCTTCACACACGGAGTGCCCGGGTTCAATTCCCGGCGGGTGGAAACATTTCGACACATTTCCTTACACCTATTGTCCTGTTCACCTAGCAGCAAATAGGTACCTGGGTGTTAGTCGACTGGTGTGGGTCGCATCCTGGGGGACAAGATTGAGGACCCCAATGGAAATAAGTTACAATCCTTGATGACGCACTGACTTTCTTGGGTTATCCTGGGTGGCTAACCCTCCGGGGTTAAAAATCCGAACGAAATCTTATCTAATCTTATCTTGCTCCCAGCATTTTAGTTGCCTCTTACGACACACACGGCTAAAGTAAATATTTTAATATAAAAAAAGTTACTAGAGACTGTACAGTAAACTGTTAATCTCTCTGACCCTTCAAGGGATACTAAATGATTCTCCTGAAGGGCTACTCTTCCCTTCCTTTTATTGAATCTGATTATCTACCTTTCCCCAGGAACTGTATGATCATTTAGTGGTATATTTTGAAACTAGGAGTAGTTGTAACTCTCACTAACCTTCTCTTATAGCAGTAGTTGTAACTCTCACTAACCTCCTCTTATAGCAGTAGTTGTAACTCTCACTAACTTCCTCTTATAGCAGTAGTTGTAACTCTCACTAACCTTCTCTTATAGCAGTAGTTGTAACTTTCACTTACCTCCTCTTATAGCAGTAGTTGTAACTCTCACTAACCTTCTCTTATAGCAGTAGTTGTAACTTTCACTTACCTCCTCTTATAGCAGTAGTTGTAACTTTCACTTACCTCCTCTTATAGCAGTAGTTGTAACTCTCACTTACCTCCTCTTATAGCAGTAGTTGTAACTCTCACTAACTTCCTCTTATAGCAGTAGTTGTAACTCTCACTAACCTTCTCTTATAGCAGTAGTTGTAACTTTCACTTACCTCCTCTTATAGCAGTAGTTGTAACTTTCACTTACCTCCTCTTATAGCAGTAGTTGTAACTCTCACTTACCTCCTCTTATAGCAGTAGTTGTAACTCTCACTAACTTCCTCTTATAGCAGTAGTTGTAACTCTCACTAACCTTCTCTTATAGCAGTAGTTGTAACTTTCACTTACCTCCTCTTATAGCAGTAGTTGTAACTCTCACTTACCTCCTCTTATAGCAGTAGTTGTAACTTTCACTTACCTCCTCTTATAGCAGTAGTTGTAACTCTCACTAACCTCCTCTTATAGCAGTAGTTGTAACTCTCACTAACCTTCTCTTATAGCAGTAGTTGTAACTTTCACTTACCTCCTCTTATAGCAGTAGTTGTAACTCTCACTTACCTCCTCTTATAGCAGTAGTTGTAACTTTCACTTACCTCCTCTTATAGCAGTAGTTGTAACTCTCACTAACCTCCTCTTATAGCAGTAGTTGTAACTCTCACTAACTTCCTCTTATAGCAGTAGTTGTAACTCTCACTAACCTCCTCTTATAGCAGTAGTTGTAACTCTCACTAACTTCCTCTTATAGCAGTAGTTGTAACTCTCACTAACTTCCTCTTATAGCAGTAGTTGTAACTCTCACTAACCTTCTCTTATAGCAGTAGTTGTAACTTTCACTTACCTCCTCTTATAGCAGTAGTTGTAACTCTCACTAACCTCCTCTTATAGCAGTAGTTGTAACTCTCACTAACCTTCTCTTATAGCAGTAGTTGTAACTTTCACTTACCTCCTCTTATAGCAGTAGTTGTAACTCTCACTTACCTCCTCTTATAGCAGTAGTTGTAACTTTCACTTACCTCCTCTTATAGCAGTAGTTGTAACTCTCACTAACCTTCTCTTATAGCAGTAGTTGTAACTTTCACTTACCTCCTCTTATAGCAGTAGTTGTAACTCTCACTAACTTCCTCTTATAGCAGTAGTTGTAACTCTCACTAACCTTCTCTTATAGCAGTAGTTGTAACTTTTACTTACCTCCTCTTATAGCAGTAGTTGTAACTCTCATTAACTTCCTCTTATAGCAGTAGTTGTAACTCTTGCTAACTTTCTCTTATAGCAGCAGTTGTAACTCTCACTAATCTCTTATAGCAGCAGTTGTAACTAACTAACTTCCTCTTATAGCAGTAGTTGTAACTCTCACTAACCTCCTCTTATAGCAGTAGTTGTAGCTTTCACTAACCTCCTCTTATAGCAGCAGTTGTAACTCTCACTAACCCCCTCTCTTATAGCAGTAGTTGTAATTCTCAATAACCACCTCTTATAGCTCACTCCATCATTGTACCACTCTGAAGAAACACTTTATGGTATCTTTTGGATACATGTTCAAGGGGATCACACACCAACTTTTGAGGCTCCATCTTGACCACTAATGGACTGTTGTGATGTCTTGTACAAATACACTGGCCCTTGACTTAGGAGAACCTAAGTCATGAAGACATTGTAGTTAGTGATGTCTGCAGACTTCACGTGTGTGCATGCATTAAAATATTCGAACAAGTGCAGTGGGCCCCCGACTTACGATATTAATTCATTCCAGAAGTCTGTTCAGGTGCCGTTACTAAACGAATTTGTTCCCATAAGGAATATTGTAAATTAGATTAGTCTCTTTCAGACCCCCAAAAATACACTTACAAAAGCACTTACAAAAATACACTTACATAATTGTTTGGGAGCTGATCATAAGTCGGGGGTCCACTGTATATGAATAAGACTAATTGGTTTATGACATTTATTAACCCTTTGAAGGTTTCGGCCGTACTAGTACGGCTTACGACCCAGGGTTTTTGACATACTAGTACGCCTAAATTCTAGCGCCCTCAAATGTAGTGGGAGAAAGCTGGTAGGCCTACATGTGAAAGAATGGGTCTATGTAGTCAGTGTGCACAGTATAAAAAAAATCCTGCAGCACACAGTGCATAATGAGAAAAAAAAAACTTCGACCATTTTTTTGGAATGAAACAGCGACTTTGCGCTGTATTTTCGTATGGTATTTATTGCTGTATTCTAGTTTTCTTGGTCTCATTTTGTAGAATGGAATACATATTACAGAAATTGGGATGATTTTGACTGGTTTTACAATGAAAAGTACCTTGAAATTGAGCTCAAAATAGCAGAAATGTTTGATTTTCACCAAAGTTCAAAAGTAAACAAATCTTGCCAAGCGTCCAATACACGTCAACTGGTGAGTCTGATATTCTTTTGCAAGTGCGCCAATATTATTTATACCATTTTTTACACTAATGCAGTAGTCTGCATAACAGTAAATCTTCTATTTTTTGTTAGAATAAAAATCAAAGTGGGAAGCAAAAGAATGTAAGAGGGGTCTTGGGACGTGAGTAATTAACAGAAGAAATGTCATTTTAGTGCCAGGAATGTCTTTGTTTATTCTGGACCCTAATCGGAAATTGGCATCTTTTGAAATTTGTGTGAAATTGGCAAAATTGCTAAATTCTGACCACTGTACTGGATAGTTGAAATTGGTAAATGGGTGGTTTCTTGCACTCATTCGATAGAAAAAATGGAGTTCTAGCGAAATATTCGTGTTTTTTGTCGACTCAAAGTGGACAAAATCGCCGATGCGTAAACATCGCCGAGATTGTTAACTTTGCGAGAGCATAATTCGGTAAGTTTTCCATCAAATTTCATACTTTTGGTGGCATTATGATCAGGAAAAGATTCTCTATCTTTTCATAAGAAAAACATTTTTTTTTTTTTTTTTTTTTAAATTTGGCCGACCCTGAGAACGAGTCTCGGAGAGGGCCTGTCGACCCTCAAAGGGTTAAGATGTGTTGTTAACAAAGAACAGTATCAAGTATCCGGTGGACAATAATACTTCTCGATATATGTCAGACTGCACTTCTTCTCTTATTAACATCAACTTTATAGAACAAGACTGCAACTATTGTAACTTGGCTTAGTGGTTAGTTTAATATTTTTATTATGCGCCCTATACCCATCCTCCCTTGGTGGGAAGCGGCCATTGTGTTAGAAAAGAAAAAAAAAAATCCTGTGTATGGTAGCCAAAAGATTACAGTGTAGGTACATAATGGGTCCAGGGACTGTGACACAGTTTTCACAACTGAACAAGTTAGTGATAATAAACTACCATTTACACATCTATTTCTGGTCCCATTTATAATGAATTATTTATGCATACGTGAAATAGATTACACACATTGTAATACTTTAATTACAGTGAGCAAAATCAGGGTATTTTTCCAGAATGGTTTGTAATATACCACTGTGGGTACCATGCCTGATACACAACCACAAGTTTAACGCCCTCCCAGTTTTTTAATGATATTATAGTATTTCACTACAGTTTTAAACCATACATGTTGTAGCCACAGCCACTGCAGCAGCAGCAGTAACAGTAATAGCAGTAGCAGCATCAGTAATATTAACTGTGACGCCACACGGGTCATAACTCCTGGGGAATGGAAGATATTCATGGTCAGTTCACTGGAATTTAAAGTACAGGTCTATAGTAGTTCTTTACATCCAGAGCTTCTCGCCAGCATTCGGCAACCTTTGGGGGACAATTATGTCTGATTGCATTATAGCTCAATTTATTTTTTGTTTTTTTTTAGAAATATTTTTCATTTTGACCAAGAAGTATTGCTCTATATTTCCTTCATGGGGGAGCACTATACCCTTAACCCTTTGACTGTCGCGGCCGTATATATACGTCTTACGAGGTACCGTGTTTGACGTATATATACTCATAAATTCTAGCGGCTTCAAATCAAGCAGGAGAAAGCTGGTAGGCCCACATGTGAGAGAATGGGTCTGTGTGGTCAGTGTGCACCATATAAAAAAATCCTGCAGTACATAATGAGAAAAAAAAACTCAGACCGTTTTTTTTAATTAAAATGAGGACTTTGTGGTCTATTTTCGTATAGTATTTATGGTTGTATTCTCGTTTTCGTGGTCTCATTTGATAGAATGGAAAACATTATAGAAATAGAGGTGATTTTGATTGATTTTACTATAAAAAGAACCTAGAAATGGAGCTCAAAGTAGGGGAAATGTTTGATTTTTGCCAATGTTCAAAAGTAAACAAATGATGCCATTGTCCAATAAATGTCCAACTAGCCATTCTAATATGCAGTCATGAATGGGTTGATGTTATATATACAATTATTACAGTATTGCAGTAGTCTGCATAATAGTAAGTCTTCTATTTTTTGTTTGAATAAAAATTCAAAATAGAAAGTAAGAGTAATATCAGAGGGGCCTGGAGACATGACTGATGAACAAAGAAAATGTTATTTTAGAGCCAGGAATGTCTGCATTGTTCATTCTGGACCTTATTTTGAAAGTGTCATATTTTTTAGTTTTTGTGAAATTGGTCAAATTGCAAATTTCTGACCACATTATTAGGTAGTTGAAATCAGTAAATGGGCAGTTTCTTGTACTCAATCGATAGAAAAAATGGAGTTCTAAAGAAATAGCTATGAGTTTGGGCCACTGGAACAACGGAATTAGCCGAAAATAGGGCTCAAAGTGGGCGAAATCGCCGATTTGTAAACAGCGCCGAGGTCGCTAACTTCGCGAGAGCCTAATTCCGTCAGTTTTCCATTAAATTTCGTTTTTTTTTGGTGTCATTACAATCGGGAAAAGATTCTCTATCATTTCATAAGAAAATTTTTTTTTTTTTTTTTTTTTTTGAAATTTTGCGACACCAGGAGAGACCTCAGGATTGGGGTTGTGACAGTCAAGGGGTTAAGGGGGTTATACAGTGTCTGGGAGAATGGAAGGCATTCAGATTTTATTCAGGAAATTGGAGCACAGGTCCAATTCCATGGATCAAGAGCCCCTCAACAGCAACAAGAAAACTCTCTTGAGGGGCCATTTTTCTCATAATCCTTTCATAAATCTGTTAATTTAAGATAAGATAAGATAGCTTGCAGTCTTGTTCTATAAAGTTGATGTTAATAAGAGAAGAAGTGCAGTCTGACATACAGTGGACCCCCGGTTTACGATATTATTTCATTCCAGAAGTATGTTCAGGTGCCAGTACTGACCGAATTTGTTCCCATAAGGAATATTGTGAAGTAGATTAGCCCATTTCAGACCCCCAAACATACATGTACAAACACACTTACATAAATACATTTACATAATTGGTCGCATTGGGAGCTGATCGTAAACCGGGGGTCCACTGTATATCGAGAAGTATTATTGTCCACCGGATTCTTGATAATGTTCTTTGTTGACGACACAATAAATGTCATAAACCAATTAGTCTTATTCATATACTTAACAAATGTACTATTGTAATAAGGGATGAGCAGAATGATCATGATAATTTATTTCAGCATGATACAATGTTTGTAATAAGGAGAATGACATTTGGGTGAACATGCCAAAAGCCCCTTTATATGTAGAGCATTTTGGGCAAATGACTAACTTAAAATTAATAAGGCACTTAGGAGTCTGTGGAGACAAAGAACTTTGTCCTTGGAGGCAAAGAGGGGAATGTATGAGAGTATAGTTTTACCAACGCTCTTATATGGGTGTGAAGCGTGGGTGATGAATGTTGCAGCGAGGAGAAGGCTGGAGGCAGTGGAGATGTCATGTCTGAGGGCAATGTGTGGTGTGAATATAATGCAGAGAATTTGTAGTTTGGAAGTTAGGAGGAGGTGCGGGATTACCAAAACTGTTGTCCAGAGGGCTGAGGAAGGGTTGTTGAGGTGGTTCGGACATGTAGAGAGAATGGAGCGAAACAGAATGACTTCAAGAGTGTATCAGTCTGTAGTGGAAGGAAGGCGGGGTAGGGGTCGGCCTAGGAAAGGTTGGAGAGAGGGGGTAAAGGAGGTTTTGTGTGCGAGGGGCTTGGACTTCCAGCAGGTATGCATGAGCGTGTTTGATAGGAGTGAATGGAGACAAATGGTTTTTAATACTTGACGTGCTGTTGGAGTGTGAGCAAAGTAACATTTATGAAGGGGTTCAGGGAAACCGGCAGGCCGGACTTGAGTCCTGGAGATGGGAAGTACAGTGTCTGCACTCTGAAGGAGGGGTGTTAATGTTGCAGTTTAAAAACTGTAGTGTAAAGCACCCTTCTGGCAAGACAGTGATGGAGTGAATGATGGTGAAAGTTTTTTCTTTTTCGGGCCACCCTGCCTTGGTGGGAATCGGCCAGTGTGATAAAAAAAAAAAAAAAAAAAAATAACAATTTGAGTAATTATGTACATATAGTCACTTAGGTGAGTGTAATTGTAAATTTAGGTGAGTGTAATTGTAAAGTAGGTGAATGTAATTGTAAATTTTGTTGGGCGTAATTGTAAATTTAGGTGAATGTAATTGTAAAATTTAGGTGAATGTAATTGTAAATTTCGGTGAGTGTAATTATTAATTTACATGAGTGTAATTGTAAATTTAGGTGAGCATAATTGTAAATTTATGCGAGTGTAATTGTAAATTTGGTGAGTGTAATTGTAAATTTAGGCAAGTGTAAATGTAAATTTAGGTGAGTGTAATTGTAAATTTAGGTGAGTGTAATAGTAAATTTAAGCAATTGTAATTGTAAATTTAGGTGAGTGTAATTGTAAATTTAGGATAGTTCCTGAAATTGTCAATAATGAATTGATTTAAAATGTTGTAATTTTCATTTTAGGAGAAACGGGTTATGTAGAAATACAGAGAATAAGAAATAAAGAAGAGCATGGAGATGACATCTTGCCACTCACTTTGAATGGGTATGTTAATTTTATTATTGTTATTATTAACACATCGATCATTTTCCCACAGAGGCAGAGTGACCTGAAAAAGAAGAAATACTTTCATCATTATTCACTCCATAACTGTCTTGCCAGAGGCGTGCAGATACAACAGTTTAGATGTTTCTCTAAACAGCGAATATCCCAAACCCCTCCTTCAGAGTGCAAGTACTGTACTTCCCACCTCCAGGACTGTAACATCCTGACTCATCCTTCAGAGTGCAGGTACTGTACTTCCCACCTCCAGGACTGTAACATCCTCACTCATCCTTCAGAGTGCAGGTACTGTACTTCCCACCTCCAGGACTGTAACATCCTCACTCATCCTTCAGAGTGCAGGCACTGTACTTCCCGCCTCCAGGACTGTAACATCCTCACTCATCCTTCAGAGTGCAGGTACTGTACTTCTCACCTCCAGGACTGTAACATCCTCACTCATCCTTCAGAGTGCAGGTACTGTACTTCCCACCTCCAGGACTCAAGTCCAGCTAACCAGTGTCCCTGAATTCATTCACAAAATATAATCCTACCCAGTTCATATACAGTGGACCCCCGGTTTACGATATTATTTCATTCCAGAAGTATGTTCAGGTGTCAGTACTGACCGAATTTGTTCCCATAAGGAATATTGTGAATTAGATTAGTCCATTTCAGACCCCCAAACATACACATGCAAACGCACTTACATAAATACACTTTCATAATTGGTCGCATTGGGAGCTGATCGTTAACCGGGGGTCCACTGTATATATATACAGTGGACCCTCAAATTTAGTCGTGCCTTTTCTGTATGCAAAACTATTTTTATCTATAAAATGTATTTTTTGTTAATATTTCCCATAGGAAATAATGTAAATCCAATTAAACCAATTCCACACACCCAAAAATATTAACAAAAAACACATTTTATAGATAAAAATAGTTTTGCATACAGAAAAGGCACGACTAAATTCGAGGGTCCACTGTATATGTACAGTAGGGTCTCGTTTTACAGTGTTTCGCTAATACGGACATTTCAAATTATGACCAAAACTCCCTATATGACTCCTCCCACCTAACTTTCTAATATGGTCACTGCATCCCATCCTGTCTGTTTACATTTTTCATAAGCTTCGTGAGTACCGCAACTCTCCATTATGTCTGGAAACTTTCCAGAATTTCAAGTGTTTTAAAGTTATTTCATATTTTATATATACAGTGGTACCCTGAGTTTTGTACAGCTCCCAACTCGAACAATTATGTAAGTGTATCATTGTAAGTGCTTTTGTAAGTTTATTTTTGGGGGTCTGAAATGGACTAATCTAATTTACATTGTTCCTTATGGGAACAGATTCATTCGGTAACGGCACTTGAACAGCCTTCTTGAAGGAATTATGGCTGAAACTCGGGGTACCACTGTACTCTGATAATTATACTTATGTGTACCTGTACCTAAATAAACTTAAACACTGTGCTGGCATGCAGGTACACATTAAAATCACTAAGAGTGTCTTGTTAGTCTTCAGGATGCCATATTAATAAAGATATTAATAATAATATGCAATAATAGGTAGTAGGTTGGTAGACAGCAACCACCCAGGGAGGTACTACCATCTTGCCAAGCGAGTGTGAAACAAGAACCTGTAATTGTTTTACGTGATGGTAGGATTGCTGGTGTCTTTTGGCCGTTTCATAAATATGCAAGATTACAGGTACGTCTTGCTACTTCTGCTTACACTTAGGTCACACTACACATACATGTACATGTTTATTTATACACACTCATCTGAGTTTTCTTTGATTTTATCTTAATAGTTAAAAGCAGGGGGAGACAGTGTTGGAGTGGTTGGTATTTTTGTTTAATAAATGTATGAAAGAGGGGAAGGTACCTAGGGATTGGCGGAGAGTGTGTATAATCCCTTTATATAAAGTGAAAGGGGACAAAAGAGATTGTAAAAATTATAGAGGAATAAGTTTACTGAGTATACTAGGAAAAGTGTATGGTAGGATTATTATAGAAAGAATTAGAGGTAAGACAGAATGTAGGTTTGCGGATGAGCAAGGAGGTTTTAGAGTGTGTAGGGGATGTGTAAATCAAGTGTTTACATTGAAGCATATATGTGAACAGCATTTAGATAAAGGTAGGGAAGTTTTTATTGCATTTATGGATTTAGAAAAGGCATATGATAGAGTGGATAGGGGAGCAATGTGGCAGATGTTGCAAGTATATGGAATAGGTGGTAAGTTACTAAATGCTGTAAAGAGTTTTTATGAGGATAGTGAGGCTCAGGTTAGGGTGTGTAGAAGAGAGGGAGACTACTTCCCGGGATGTGTAATGTCACCATGGTTGTTTAATATATTTATAGATGGGGTTGTAAAAGAAGTAAATGCTAGGGTGTTGGGGAGAGAGGTGGGATTAAATTATGGGGAATCAAATACAAAATGGGAAGTGACACAGTTGCTTTTTGCTGATGACACTGTGCTTATGGAAGATTCTAAAGAAAAAATGCAAAGGTTAGTGGACGAATTTGGGAATGTGTGTAAAGGTAGAAAGTTGAAAGTGAACATAGAAAAGAGTAAGGTGATGAGAGTATCAAATGATTTAGATAAATAAAAATTGGATATCAAATTGGGGAGGAGGAGTATGGAAGAAGTGAATGTTTTCAGATATTTGGGAGTTGACGTGTCGGCGGATGGATTTATGAAGGATGAGGTTAATCATAGAATTGATGAGGGAAAAAAGGTGAGTGGTGCATTGAAGTATATGTGGAGGCAAAAAATGTTATCTATGGCGGCAAAGAAGGGAATGTATGAAAGTATAGTAATACCAACACTCTTATATGGGTGTGAAGCTTGGGTTGTAAATGCTGCAGCGAGGAGGCGGTTGGAGGCAGTGGAGATGTCCTGTCTAAGGGCAATGTGTGGTGTAAATATTATGCAGAAAATTCGGAGTGTGGAAATTAGGAGAAGGTGTGGAGTAATAAAAATATTAGTCAGAGGGCTGAAGAGGGTTTGTTGAGGTGGTTTGGTCATTTAGAGAGAATGGATCAAAGTAGAATGACATGGAGAGCGTATAAATCTGTATGGGAAGGAAGGCGGGGTAGGGGTCGTCCTCGAAAAGGTTGGAGGGAGGGGGTAAAGGAGGTGTTGTGGGCGAGGGGTATGGACTTCCAGCAAGCATACGTGAGCGTGTTAGATAGGAGTGTATGGAGACAAATGGTATTTGGGACCTGACGATCTGTTGGAGTGTGAGCAGGGTAATATTTAGTGAAGGGATTCAGAGAAACTGGTTATTTTATATAACCGGGCTCGAGTCCTGGAAATGGGAAGTACAATGCCTGCACTCTAAAGGAGGGGTTTGGGATATTGGCAGTTTGGAGAGATATATTGCATATTTTTATACGTATATACTTCTAAACTGTTGTATTCTGGGCACCTCTGCAAAAACAGTGATTATGTGTGAGTGAGGTGAAAGTGTTGAATGATAATGAAAGTATTTTCTTTTTGGGGATTTTTCTTTCTCTTTGGGTCACCCTGCCTTGGTGGGAGACAGCCGACTTGTTGAAAAAAAAAAAAAAAGTTCTTGTTCTTATTACTTTTCCTTTTATATCCATGGGGAAGTGGAATAAGAATCTTTCCTCCATAAGCCATATGTGCTGTAAAAGTCAACTAAAATGCTGGGAACAATGGGCTAGTAACCCCTTTTCCTGTAAAAATTACTAAAAAGAAGAAGAAAATTGTCAAAGTGGGAAGTCTGAATGTGCGAGGATGTTGTGCAAATGATAAGAGAGGATTGTGGATGCTATGAATGAGAAGAAGCTGGATGCCCTGGCTTTAAGTGAAACAAAGCTGAAGGGGATGGGCAGGGCCGGATTAAGAAGTCTCCGGGCCCTAGGCTATTCAGATTGGCGGGGCCCGTTTGAGTTACGGGTAAGCGAAGCGACCCCTTCCAGCTTGGGGGTGGGGGTGGGTCGGTGTGAGCCTGTTTAAGGTCTAATTAAATACATTCTGGCTATTTAGATTAAATTTAATAGGGAAAGTACATCAAGACAACCAAAACCATTTACCAACAGCCATTATAACTATCTTGTTAAATCATGCATTTTAAAGAGAATAAACGCAAGACAGCATAGTATTACTAGATTAGGCTATTAAAGTAGTGACATCATGTACCTATTATATTCAGCATAACCACTACAGCACTATTATTCCCTTTATAAATCACTGACCATTATTGTTATCATTGCATCATGCATAAGACTATCAAATCATATAAACTACAGAAAATTGGAGAGGAATCTCCCATACTCACCCATTAGCGGGAAAACACAGCTGTTCTGATGTAAACAAAGGCGTGTTGAGTGCTGCCATCTATGGTTAGGTTTATTTATTTTTATTTTATTTTATTTCATTATTTATTTTTGTTTTGATTAATTTTTAAAAATCAATTTTACTCTCCAAACACTTGAACTTTTTAGGTAGGGACGCCTTTGTACTTGTACCATGCGCGCAGTCTTGGATGAGCCCCTGAACCCCTTGGACCACGGGGCCCCCAAATGTGCGGGGCCCTAGGCAAATGCCAAGTTTGCCTATGCGGTAATCTGGCTCTGGGGGTGGGAGAGTTTCAGTGGAGAGCAGTAAATGGGATTAGGTCATGGGTTTCAAATACGTAGAGTTAGAGCTAAAGAAGGAGTAGCAATAATGTTGAAGGATAAGTTATGGCAGGAAAAGAGGGAGTATAAGTGTATTAATTCAAGGATTATGTGGAGTAAAATAAAGGTTGGATGTGAAAAGTGGGTTATAGTAAGCGTATATGCACCTGGAGAAGAGACACGTGTAGAGGAGAGAGACAGGTTTTGGGAAATGTTGAGCGAGTGTGTGGGGAATTTTGAACCAAGTGTGAGTACTTGTGGTTGGGGATTTCAGTGTAAAAGTGAGTAAAAATGCTGTGGAGGGAGTAATAGGTAAATTTGGGGTACCAGGGGTGAATGAAAATGGGG